TGCGTTCCACTTGCCAAGCTGCGAGCCCTGGTCCAGGGCTCAGGAAGGCGCTGCATTCAAATTCACATGGAAATGCAGTGCGACTTAGCAGTACCTCATTCGAGAGGGAAATTCTTGGGATATATGTGTTGTGTAGTCATTTTCTTTCCAATTGAAACATTGCCTCTGGAGGGAGGAGGGAGACTCTGGGCTTGTTGGTGATGCGGCTTGGAGTCACCGTGCTCCAGTTAAGTAACCCAAACCCACTCACCGGTTCACTAGGCTAGACCTGGGTGGAATTATCTCTTTCATCTGTCATTGGTGCCCTACCTGGGAAGAACAGACATGTTCTTGTCACCCTAGGAAAAGTCACACAGTACAACACTGAATCAGCTTAAATATACTCTTGATAAATGCTCTTTCAGGGTCTTGAGACTTTCATGCCTCCATCACAGGCCATGGGACATGAGCATTCCAGTATAGCACTGTTATTGTCCTGCCTCTTTAACCACAGGACTCCCTGGTTCCACAGTGGGTGTCGGAAAGAACACCCGATCCCCACAGCCTGACCAATCTTCTGTATCTTTCTAAGTAGTTTTATTCCCATGTACCTGCTCCCACATGTAATTACATAGAACTGATTGTTTTGAGATTATTTGCTTTTTTGTTTTGTTTTTCGAGACATGGTTTCCCTGTGTAGCTTTGGAGGCTGTTCTGGAACTCGCTTTGTAGACCAGGCTGGTCTGGAACCCACGGAGATCCACCTGCCTCTGCCTCTGCCTCCCAAGGGCTGGGATTAAAGGCGAGCGCCACCACCGCCCTGCGTGATTGCTTGCTTTTTTTTTTTTTTTTTTTTTTTATTAACTATTTGAAACTGGTTGTTCGGAGTCTTCAGTATTTTCAGCATACCTTCGTTTCCATCGTCTTCCACTACACAGCATGTCTTGATTAGAGTGTGTCCCAGTTATCATTGGCTGTCAGCTTGACACAGCCCAGAATCATTTGAGGGAGTCCTAACTGGAGAATTACCCAGATCAGTTTGGCCTGCAGGTATGGCTGTGGGGAATTGTGCGATTGTTATTTGATGTCCGAGGGCCCAGCTCATTGTGGGTGTCATCATCCCTAGGGGCTGGACTTAGGCTGAGCATGTGCCAAGCCGCATTTCTCCATGGCACCTGCCTTCAGGCTCCTACCTTGTTTCTGCCCCTACTCCACTCTGGTTGGCTGTGACCCGGATGTGAAAGTCAAATAGATCCTTTCCTCCCCAAGTTGTTTTTGATCAGGGTGTTTTATCCCAGCAACAGAAATCAAGCTGTGATGGGCTGGACCATGTTGGTTTTGGTGGAGGATTGTGAAATATGAGCAGAAATAAGCCCTTCCTTCCCATGTGGCCTTGGGTCAGAATGTTTTGTCACATGAACAGAGAGCAAGGATTGGGGTGCTGTTGGTACTTGGGAAATGTCAGTTCAGCGTTGGGAGAAATCCGGGGCACTTGTATTGTGACTCCTTTCATCAATGCCAAACTCCCCAAATCACTGTGCCGCTGCTTATAAATGCTTCCCAACATTTCCAAATGTCTTCATGGGGAATGTGTAACTCCCGAGACCCCCGGACATATTGCTGTGCTTGTCACGTTTTATCGATGAGTGAGAATGGAAAACAGTCAGGACAGGGCGTCACACGACACCCTGAATCTTGTGCACCCATGGCAGGATTGGACGATTGCTGTTGTGGTTTGAGTTGTTGGAGTTCAGTCCCCATTATACGCTATCAAGGGGCTGTACTTCTAGAAGGTAAGCAGGGTGCTACCCTCACGAATGAATCCAATCATGATCAATAGACTGATGTGTTAGTGAGAAGCCGAGAGGGTGGCTCTACTAGAAAGCCGATTTGTCCAGAACTTTCTCAATTTCCCTGTTCTCAGGATGTCGTGCCAGCCAGAACAAATACAATCCCCCTCTTTCCTTTCAACAGCTAACACACTCAGACTCCTACCTTGCCCCTACACAACTTTTTGTTTTTGCCCTTTGGGATCATTGTCGTGAAATTTATCAATCCCACGTTTACGCTACTTGAACGAGAAACTACTTCCAGTCGGTTAGAGCAGACACAATAGCAAGCGTCTGGTAGCGTGTGGTGCCTTCAGATACCAGATCCCATCTGTGTGGTGATTGCTGTACACACCCAGCCCGATGCTGCAGGCTCAGCACGGTTGGCATTGTGTATTTGGTCTCATCATTCTGACTGTACTACTCAATGTTAAACAATGCACTCAAGCCCGGTACAACGGCACAGATCTGTCGACCCACGAGTTCCAAGCCAGCCAGGGCTGTAAAGTGAACCGGTCTCAAAACAGCAGCGCCAGCATCCCAGCATCGTTGCCAACAAACCCCAAGCCGGGAACAAACAAAACAACAAAACCGCACCTGGCAAGACGGCTTAGTGGGTCAAGCGGCTGCCACATAAGCCTGAGGACCTGAGTTCAATCCCCAGAACCCACGTAAAGGTGGAAGGGCAGGACCAACCCCACAAAGTTGTCCTCTGACAACCCCCCCATACCAAGGGCACAGGCACCCTCACTAACAGATTAAAGTAATATTAAATTACCCCCCCAACTGCAGCAAACGACAGCAGCACTCACCAACATCCCTTCCCCACATGTCAGGTGAATAACTAAAGCTTTAAAAAAAGATGTATGGAACTTTCCCAAAGCCTTCAGTGCTCTGCTGGTCAAATGGTTGCTGTGAAACTATGGAGAAAAGCTTGGGAAGTGGGGGGATTAAGAGAGACTCCCATCCTAAGCCTCACCCCCCTGGGTACCCCAGCTGCACCATTAACACCCAGCCTGTCACCACCAGCTGGGGTTCCGACCAGCAAGAGGGAAAGCCTCTGTAGGTGTTTTTGTTTGTTTGTTTGTTTTTTTTCCTAAGTGGCAACGGGAAGGGTAAATTAGCGACTTCACAATAAACCAGGCTGGGCACTGGCGCCAGCTTCAGAGTCTGCTGCTGAGAGAGTCTGGCAGCCCACAACTCCGGCCTCTCTGAAAATAAGAACAAAACCCAGACGAACCCAGGATCCCATATCCAGGGAAAGGAAGGAAGAGGGGAAGTCAGCTGGCCGATCTTACAGAAATGAGTGTGAAAGCTTCAACTTCCAGAACTTTGAAACAGGAGCAAATATGTGAATCCATCAACACCTTCCTTCACCCATGCATTCATTCTTGTAATGTTTCCTAAGATTATCCACGTGTCAGAGTCTGAAGCACCCGCTGATAAACATGGCAAATGCCCCTGTCCTCATACAGCTTGCTGTTTGTGTAGCGAGGGGATGCAGGTAGTAAGCATATTAAAAAATAAAATAAGGGCCAGAGAGATGGCCCAGCCAGCAAAGGCACCTGCCTGCTGTGCAAGCCCGGTGACTAAGTTCCATCCCCAGAACTCACAGAAAGGTGGAAGATGATGAGAAGCAACTCCACAGAGTTGTTCTGTGACCTCCACGCATGTGCGATACATGCCCCCCATACACCCTGAAAAGACTCTATTATGTGGGGAGAAGCCTTGCACTGAGCAATAGGAAAGGGACTCCTACAGCTCGGGGAGGGCTTTTGTTTAAAACTTTTAGTCAAGTCTCACAAAGAGGACATTTGAATATGGAAAATATTGTTATTAATATTACTATTGTAATGCCTGGCACCATTCTAGGTATGTCAGTCATCACATCAATACCTACAATCGCCCTGAAGTATAGCTATGAAAATTCTTGTTTTACAAAGAAAACGAGGTTCAGAGATCTGCACCGCTTTCTGGACACCGCAGGACTAACAAGTGGTGTGATTCGAACCAAGCCCCCAAACTCCAGCAATTGCGTACTCGCAGGCACGATGGTGCAGCCAGCCAAGGTTTGGGGAAGGGCAGTGCGTGCAAAGGGAGTCTCTGCTGTACGCAGGAGAGCTTTTACCAGTGGGTGTACTTGATGCGGGCTGTGCAAGAGCTTTTACCAGTGGGTGTACTTGATGCGGGCTGTGCAAACTTAGCGCTGCTGAATGAATCCCGCCTTTGGTGGGAGCTGCCGGAGGAGTGGGGCCTGTGGGGGGAGGGAGCACGCAACTCTTGAGGTTGTCCCGGGACAGTGTCTGAGTGAGTTTCACCTTGTCACCACCGGGGGACCAGCTGCTCTAGTCAATAAGGGAGGAAGGCTCTGGTTCTTCAGAGCTTTGCCTGGGGCGGCAAAGCTGAGCCCCAGGGTGCAGCTCCCTGGAGGAGTCCCCATGCACTGGCTGGGGGCCCTGGGCACAGGACAGAGTGGAGGTGGGAATAGTCTGACGAGGTCCTTGTGCAGCAAAGCGGGGCGGACTAGGACAAGCAGAGAGAGCAGAGAGCAAGCCGGCTTTTCGTTTGGTTTGTGAGAGGAGCGCCGGGTACAATCAAGAAAGTGCCCTGGAAATGTCCGGGTGACAGCCTGCAGAGAGCTGGAAAACAGGTTCCAGAGGTGGCTAGGCGGGTGCTGGGCTTAGGAAGAAACAGAAGGAACTCTGACCCGGGAGAAAGCATTCTGGGCACAAGGGGGCAAGCTCAAGGGAGAGGAGCTCTGGGCCATCTCCGGGGCGACCCCAAGGAGGCATTGCCCAGCATGCTGCAAAGAGAAAGTACTTGCCCAGGTAGGGACAGCTTTGGGAGCTTGAGGGCAGGGACGCTCAGTGTGGCCAAGCCAGGGACACACAACCTGCGAGCTCAAAGTATGGGGCTCACTGTGGCTCGTCAGCGTGTGCGCCATGAGGTCCTAGGAAAGCATTTGCGGACCGGGAACTTGGACAAGGAGCGCTGGGGCAATGAAGCACAAAGTTGTTTCTGCGGAAGGCTCAGTTAGCCCGCGCTGGCGGTCTTGGGCAGAGAGCTGAGCCTCTGAGCCGAAGACAGGGAAGGAGGAGGTGTGCCCCCGAAAACCCAGCACAAAAAGTCCATGAGGGACAGCGCCGCCCCGATCTCTCCTTTGCAGCTGCTTTTGGCACCAACCCCACTCACCATGATGGAGAAGACCAAAGCCACGATGTTGACTGGGTACGCTGGGCAAAAACACGCGACAATGGTGAGCCACAGATAGTTCTTGGGCTCAGGCAAGTCCTCCTCGGTCTTGTCATCTTCCGTGTTGGCTTCGGGGCTGCTGCTGTCCAGTGCTCCCTTGGAGTCTGAGCGGGACGCATACTGGGACATGGGTGAAGTCGGCGACGCCGGGAGGGACGAGGAGCGCACTGTCCGCCCAGTTTGGGGCTGTGGCTGCCGGCTCATGGTGAGCAGAGGCTCTGAAAAGCTGGTAGCTCCAGCCTCAGGGGAGATGTGACTTCGCTCCTCTTGAGTAGGTCGGCTTGCCTGCACGCGCTTGCTCCGCTCAGGGACCTAGGCCAAGAGCCTCCCCATAAAGAGGGAGGGAGGGAGGGAGAAAGCAAATGCGGGGAGGGGAGAGAGAGAGAGAGAGAGAGAGAGAGAGAGAGAGAGAGAGAGAGAGAGAGAGAGAGAGAGAGAGAGAGAGAGAGAGAGAGAGAGAGCCTGTCCCCTCAGGAGGCAGAGGAAATCAGGGAGACTCTAACCTCTAACTCCCCTCACACCTAGAGACCCTTCTGTGAAGTGGGCGTGCACTGAGAAATTTGCAAGGGCTCAGGGAGAGGAAGCAAGGCCTTTTTAGTTTTAAACTGGGGGGGGCACGGGGGAGAGGAGGGGGTTATGGGGAAAGGGGTCACAGGGGAGCAGGGGCAGGCTGCAAAGGGCCTTGTCACCTTTTAAATATCACTGAGTTTGAGTCATCAGAGGGAATATGATCCCCCTATCCAGTCCACACGTCTTTATATTACACTTCGTTCACTCCACGGGAGACTCAGGGGGCTGGAGTAGGCACTTGGTTCCTTCCACCCTCCCCGCCCCCACCCAGTAGAAACAAGGAGGTCTCCTCTCCACTTTCCTTCTGACATGAGAGACAGGTGGTTTTGGCTGGATCGTGTAACCTGGACAGACAGATGGGGTAAAGAGAAAGATTTGGGCCCTAGGGCCAAGAAGCACAAGTGTTTGGATCTTGGCCTTTCCTGAGAAATCAGAATCGAGACTCTTGGCCCACGTGGGACTTGGTCACAGGAAAGAAAGTCCCCATCACCTTACCCAATTTCTACCTTTAAAAGAGAGGGTGTGTGTCAGGGTCCATGCCTTATCCAGGCAATGAAAGGAAGGCATGGGATTGCACATTAAACCATTAAATGTTAGATTTTCCAGGATTCTGATTTCTTAGGGTAGGAATGATTATGCAGTATCTTGGACCTATGGCTTACTGCTGCAGATGCCTCATCTGAAATCCAGATATTTGGAGCTTGGAAGGACCATAAAAATGGCAATAACATTAACATACAGGGTTTCAAAAGCACTTACATCACCATACTCAAAGGTATTAATCATCATGGCCCTCTGAGAACATAAGCGTCACCGCCTAGGATGCTCAGGCTCATAAAGCATGGGGCTCATACTTACTTCACTGTATTTACCTATTTGCTGCTCGGAACTGCCAAACCAGTGGGACACAGAGACATGGAGGCAAAGAGAGACACAGAGACACACAGAGAGAGACACACACACACAGAGAAAGAGAGAGAGGGGGGGGAGGGAACAACCCTATACCCGAGCTTTTGGATCAGTGCGAGGAACAGTGTCCAGGACAGCTTTCTGGAGGAACACCCAGAGAGGAAGTAGTACCTTCCTCATCCTGCCCTCTTCTCTATTTTGGTTGGTTAATCAAGTTCAGATAAACCTAAAGATTAGCCTCAGTCTTTGTGCGTTTGTTATATCTTGTTTTTGAGACTGGATCTCACTCTGTAGCCCAGGGTGACCTTTCACTCACAGTGATCCTCCTGCCTCAGCACCCCATGTGCTGGGGTGTACCACACCCAGCCTCCCATTTGGCCTCTGCCATGGAGGTCCCCTCTGCCTAGAAGGACCATTCCCAGGCAGCCTCTCCTTACTCTTCATCGGCCAGTTCAAAGTCACTTTCTCAAGAAGGTTTTATCAAGAGTAGGTCCAATTACTGCTGGGCGATATTTTACTAGCATGGCTACTTTTGTGTGTGAGGGTCACCATGATCACTTACAGCGTGTTCTTTCCCTACCTTGGAAACTATTTTACATGCATCTCCAACACTTAGACTTATCCTACCTAACATATGGGAGGGAGATAAGAAACACAACTGAGCAGATGGACCAGAGCACTGAAGAAGCCGACCTTCAGGTCTTGCTTGGGCAGTTCTGGATGTAGAAACCTGTATTTTGGGTGTCTGAGAAATCCATTACTTCTGAAATTCCCTGGCAATTCTGGCTCAACCTGTCACTCTCTCCAATCCCAGCGTCAGCTCTAGACTTCAGGTTGTAGCCTTGGATCCTTAGCCTGGAGATTTCCCACAAGCACCGTGAAATCTATCTCAGACCCTGTTCCTCAGGGTCCTTCTTTGAGTAACTGTCCTGCCTTCTCCTCCAGCCTCTCTGCTAATCTCTCCCTCTCTATAGTTCAGCTGCGTAGGCTTTCCCTTTCCCACCCCACAATCTCTACACCTGCTCTTCTTCCGCTTGGGACGTTTCTTCTCCTCCCTGACCCTTGGCTCCATCTCTTTCAGGGTCCTCATGGGTTTCCTCTCCAGAGGGGCCATCCTGTCCTAAATAGACGCTCGTTAACTTCTCTATTGTCTTCGTCTAAGTTATCATAGCCAGTTATTTTCTTCATTTGTTTCTTTGACTATTGTATCGGTCTGCCCAGGTAGAAAACTCTACAGAGCCGATCTTTTCCCTCTCGGGTACCCAGACACAGCCCATGGATCATAGTAAGTGCACAGTAGCTAATTCATGGAGTGAATGAGAGTTGTGCTTAATTATCCAGGTCAGGTGCTTGTAGACTCCTTCCTCCTCATTTCTTCAGCGCCTCTAAGAGCTGGCAATTTATCAAACCCTATTGATTCCATCTCCAATGTGACTCTTCACTCTGCTTTTTTACCCCTTTGCTATAGCCAGTGTTCCAGTTCTGGCTTTTATTAACGGCGCGAAGGCCCGGTGGAACCCTCCTGTGACCTGAGGCTGGTAAATTTAATGGTACGGCCAGACTTTAGTTTTGGATACCAAGTGGAACTTTGCTTTCTCAGGGTCACGAGCTGTACCATCAACTCTAACCCACTAGTATCCGCTAGGGGAATAGAGACAATGAGCTTGGTGACTCTTCCAGACAACTGTCCCGTTTATCAAACATTTAAAGAGTGATTCCTGTGTGCACACAGTGAATCCCTTTCATGGGCCATCTCATTTAATTCCTACAGCTTAAAAAAAGAGTTGACTTTGTCTCTCTCTCTCTCTCTCTCTCTCTCTCTCTCTGTGTGTGTGTGTGTATGTGTGTGTGTGTGCATGGCTACCTCTGAGTGTACAAGCAGAGGCCACAACAGGGCATAGAATCCCCTGGGGCTGGAGTTACAGGTGGCTGTGAACAGCCTGGTGTGGGTGCTGGAAACTGAACTTGCGTCTTCTGCCAGAGCAGCAAGTGCTCTTAACGGTAGAGCCTTCTCCCCGGCCCCAGTCCCTGCAGCTGTTTGTTAGCTAGATGGTGAGGTTCCCATTCACAAATGGGAATGCCATGCGTGAGTTCGATAAGAAGTCTCTTACAGGGTCTAAGTGGAAGTGCAGGCATTTTAACTAGGGTGGATATTTTCTCCAGTTAACAGGTCCACCAAGAAAGTTAGAAGGACACCTCCAAAGTTTCTTGGCATTGCTCTATTCTACTCAGAGAAGATGGATGAATAGCTTGTTGGCTGCTCGAAAGTGTAGCAGTGAGATTTCGATGGCCTGGAACATTTGCAATGAAATGGAAAAGGAAGTGCTCGCTCCAGAAAGGATAATGTACAAGGGGCAGATTCTCGAGGGATGTGCATTGGATCATTCCGCTGGGGTTTCCCAGTCCAGTTTCTGGAGGCTAACTGGTTTTCTTTGGGAGGCCGGCGTGTTGCTGTTGGACAAACCCTGATGGCTGATTGCTCTGTGATGTGGCACTCTTCCCTTTGAAGGGAGAAAGCAATGCCTAAGGTGGTGGAGGAGGAAGAGCCTGGGGCCCAGTGCATGAAGCGTCTTCCTGATCTTTGCTGAGTTTTGTCTGCAGATGTGAAATGAGTTCATCCTAGGAAACCAAGAAGAGCGCATAGGACAGAAGGCTTATAGTGGCGACGGCCACAAAGACACGGGCCTATCCTTTCTAACATGTACATAATTGCCTTCCCTAAATAGCTTTACACTCTTACTTCCCCCTACCCCCCCCCCCCAAGATAGATAGTCCGGCTCCTAACACCCTTTGCAGATGCCATTGTCCCCAGGATTTCCCTCTGACTTCATGGGTGATTTCTTATTATTGCCGCCATGACCGGGTCACTAGGGCTAGGTTGTTTTAGTATTTATTGTTGCAGTTGTGATAAAACACTCTAGTGGGCATTGTTGATACCCACGTGTCTGCATTTGTCACAATTGCTTTGTGACTCATGACCCTCCCTACAGGACAAATGTCAGTCTTTGAAAATGTTTATTTATTTAAAATGTTTGTTTTATTCTTTACTATGAGTCTCTGCGTATGTGTACACAGCGATGCAGGAGCCCATGTCTTTCTCCTTTTGTGTCTCTGAGTCAGGGCTGCCTACGTGAGACTGGGCAGGGGGTTGTTGGCTGGAACCAGACAACTTTTTCAAGGGCAAGAAGAACACAGGCTGCTTGGCAGAGCAGCCGGCGGTGAGACTGAGCTGAAGAAATTTAGGTTAAACAAAATGATCATGCAGTCAGTGGACTGTGGAAATGAGGCGCTTGGAACGAGATGAAAAGGGAATGACTCAGAGGCTGATTTCACAGTTCTTGGTGGATCCCTGATAAGGAACGGGTCAGAGCTGAAACAACAGGTGTATGCTGGAAGTGAGTAGGAGAGTGTGCACACTGGCTAGAGAGAGAGAAGGAGGGAGGGGAGAGAGGGAGAGAGAGAGAGACTATGAATTTGCTGATCTATGAAATGCAAGAGAGTCCAGATCTTTAGGAAATGGTATAAAAGGTCGAGCGTATTTGTTGCCAAATTTCACATTAGTCTCGAGCCTTTAGTAGTCGTAAAGTAACTGCTGTGGTCTCAGGGGTTTGCTCCAAGAGAACAATGCCATTTTGGCTAATATTATTAGAATGCCTTCCCAGTTTCCAGCAACTTTTCACAAGGAAGAGGAAAAGGTGAAATGGAGAGAAGACTATAGCAAAGAGACGGCGTTAATTTCTTAA